TAACACCGAATTTCTGCCCGGCTGTCGACTGACGTCGGACTTCTTCCCAACGCCAAACCTTCGCTCATCGTCGGAATTCTACCTGATGTCGGACCTCTGCTCATCGTCGGATTTCTACCCGACGTCCGACTTCTACCCATCGTTAGACTTTCGTCGGGTTTCTATCTGATGCCTGACTTCTGTCCATCAACAGACTTCTACCCAACACCAGACTTGCGCGCGTCGCTGGATTTCTATATGACACTAGACTTCCGTCGTCATCGGATTCTTACAAATGCTGGACTTCCGCCCATCACCAGATTCATCCATAACGCCAAACTTCTGTCTGCCATCAGAATTTCGTCAGACTTCCATTTGATGCTGGACTTTTTTCGGTTGTCGGACATTCATTGAACTTCTATCATATGCTGGACTTCTGTCCAGTGCTGGACTTCTGTCCAATGTTGGACTTCTACCCGACGTCGTTCTTCTGACCTCCATCGCCATACAACGGTCTTTATGACCTTCGTCGCCCGCCAACAATGATCCTTTTGACTTACGTCGCCCACTGACTATAGCCCTTCTGACCTGAATCACTCACCGATAATGGCCTTTCCGACTAAGAAAATACGTCAACAGTGAATCTTTGTATTCCAACCATGTAATGTACTTCATATGAAGTATATCAAGCCAATGCCTTCCCTCTAAAGAAGGGCTTCAATTGTAATTGATTGCATATAATAGTGGATTCATTCAAACTGGGCTAGGCCCTGTGGTTTTTCCCCCTTTTCAGGGGTTTTCCACGTAAAAATCTTAGTGTCTCATATGAATGACGCACCCTATCTCTTTATCTGTGTACGTGCTGAATCTTAGTACAAAGCTAAGACGTTAAACTTTATATTTCTCTAACGCTACGAATACTCCATGATGCAACAATTATAAATAATAATTATATTATCAGTAATTTATTTAACAATTAAACTAGTTTTATTGCTTAGGGTTTTTGGGTTTTCCTCCGCTGCGTGCTCTCCCGCCCCGCTTTTCCCAATTTTCTTCAGGCGCTCTTCATGTTGTGGGTTTTTCTCTATTTGTAAGGAAGTTCCTTCTCCTTGGTCATATTTTTTTGGCCGTGTTTTCTCTTTTAGCCGTGTGGCCGGCATGGCCTTTAATCAGCTCTTGGATCCTAGTTTTTTAGATGGATCTAGAAAGTCTTATTCTTTTTTGAATGTTTTATCTGGCCGATAATGCATTGGATGTTCATTTTTTGCACCTCAAAACGAGCTCTTTCCATGGATTACCTGCTGTTTGGATCTCTTAGGAGGATATCGCTTCTTTAGATGCCCCTTTTTAGTTTGCTCTAGTGGATTTTTTTCCCTCTCGCCGCCCTAGTTTAAATTATATCTGTTGCTTTTTCTTTAACATTAAGCTTTCGGCTGAGTTTTCGGTAACTTTACTGGATGCGTCTCACGTGTTGATTAAATTGTCTAATTATATGGGTTATAGTAGGGTTTTTTTCATCGTTCTTACATGGTGTTCAATTGATACATAAAAAATACTAAATGGTTGCCTACCCTTGATATCGGTGTGGATTCTCCAATTATCCCCATATGGGTCTCTTTCCCTAACCTTCGGCCGCACCTTTTTGCTCCCAAAATCTTTCATTCGTTGGGCTCTTTATTTGGTTGCCCCCTTAAAATTGATTTTGCCACATATGTTGGCTCGCGGCCTTCATTAGCACGTGTTCTGGTAGAATTGGACATTACGAAACTTTACCCTGATAAAGTTTGGCTGGGGACTGAGCATTTGGGTTATGTACTTATGTTCAACATGTTCAAATGGAGGTGTTTCCCCCTTTCTGTGAGTTGTGTAAGGCCACAAACGGGGTGATTGTCGTTCTTCTCCTTATGTTCCCAATTCAATTTCTTCTTCGAAGCCTTCTTTTCCTGTTAAGAATGTTAAGTTTCTATTGATGTGGATAATGTTGATGATGGTGTTTTGGGGGAGGTGGTTGCTCCTAAACCTTTTGGGTTTGTCGATTAATGGTGATGGCCCAGCTGTCGGTTCCTCGTCACATGTGATTGAAGGTATTTCGTGTATGGTTGTGAGTGAGCCTGAGCCTGCATCTAATCCTGAATTATTTGTGTTTGCTCATACTATTTGTGTTTCACCTACTATTCCTATTACTAAATTAGCTCCAGTGGACTCTGTGGTTGGGATTGAGTATGTTGCACTTGTCCCTAGGCTTTGTGTTAGTGTTGGTGGTGCTGTGAATTATGATGTTAATTTTATCCATGTGTTGTCGGTGAGAATGCTGTGCCTGTCCGGTGCGGTTTGCTTATGGCTGAGCTACTTTCTGCTGTCGGTGAGTTGTCTGGTTCTTCTATTTCTCCTATTAGTGAGTTTCCTGTTTGTGCTGTCCCGTCTCCTTTGAGCCATGTTGTTCAGGATGCTAGCTTCTCTTCGGTTAAATATGCTTTGGCTAAGATGCCTACTAGGATTGTTGATCAACCAATTTTACATTCATTTGAAGGTCGTGTGGGCAATGCTAACTTTATCGATATTCCTATTTCCATTATGTCTAATAATGAGATGAAAAATCATGTGGCTAACTCTAAGAAAAACTCTATCTTTGTTTAGAATGATTGGTTGATTTTAGAACACTCACTCTCTTCCCCTTCTATTGAGGATGATACTGTTGTTCATGATGTTGAGAAGGACCGTCATGTGATTGCTAATAGGCAAAGAATGAAAGGAAAAAAGATTTAAGGTTTGTGATTTGGCTTGGCCGATTTCGTCCATGATTTTTTGAGGTTTAATGGACGATGATGAGGAGGCCCTTACTGCCCCGTCAGCAGTGCTGGTTGGCAACCTAGGTGTCTCAGCGTTGGATGGATTGAGATCATTTTTTGTCACTTATGGATGGTCCGTGCGTTGCTGATTGGCTGGTGCTGGGGACCTCCATTATTGAGTCCTTGACCTTCATTCCTGAGTCCCCGATCGTTGATTATTTTGCTCTGATTGTTTGTTTTGGGTCTCTATTATTTGTTTTGGGTCTCTACTGTTTGTTTCCCTGGTGTTGGTTTGTTGACATTGTACTCCTTTCTTTTTTTATTAATAAAATTCTCTGTTAAAAAAAAACAATTAAACTTGTTTTTAATTGTATTATTATAATTGTAAATTATTGTTGATAATTAAAATTTAAATTAATAAATAACTTGTATTAAAAATATAAATTAAATTTAAATTTTTAAATAACTAAACCCCTTAACTCTAGAATTATATTGCCAAACAGCCCCCTAGGGGAATTTGTAATTTAAGGAAGGATTCAGGCTTGGGTCGATCTTGAAAGTTTGCAATCAGAGCAAAGGGCAACAAGCATCAATGCCATCAATTCGTCGCAGACTGCGTTCAAAAAGCATGGAAAGTGGGTGGGTATAGGTGTGTATGACACCCCGAAAAACACCATGGGTGGGTGCGGGTGGGCGAAGCCCATCCGAGTAAAGCATGGGTATCCAATGGGTACCCAACCAGGAACCCATGTAGAGCTTTGTTGTATTATTGATATATATTTTGAAGATTAAAAAAAACGTGGGCAAACATATTTTCTATCATTAGGAAATAAATAAATTAATAGCTCTGTTGTCTGTTAGTAATTAAAGAATTATGAAAAAGTTGTTCAAATTAGATATTAGGCTTGATCTATCAACATCCAACACAATTTGATTCATTCTATCAGTAGGTTATATTGAATTGGGTTGTGAAAGAACTGGTTCTATAAACACTAAAAAGGAACTCGCTAATTCGAATAAATATAGGATTTTAAAATACTTATATATTTGAAAGCAATACAAGTCGTATGATAAGTTCAAATCCTGGTTTTAATTTATCAACCGAACACTCACAATTTTTCAGTTCTTCACTTGTAGAAATTGAAGACAAGATCTATGAAACCTGTAATACCGGCTGCAAAAACAAAATTCACTTGCATATATAAGTCGTATAAAATATCCAGCTTCTCCAAAATTTAAATATTCATAATATTTGTCAGGAACAGGGAAAAAATATTTTTGAAGAATTTGAAAACTATACAGTCTGATACATAAATTATTACAGGAAACCAACAGGTCAGTAAGATTATTTAGATAGCACTCTGCTCACTTGTACAGTTTACTCTCTCTCTCTCTCTCTCTCTCTCTCTCTCTCTCTCTCTCTCTTGTCTTTGATTTTTTAGTTGTGAGATGGCTTCTCTGACTCAGTGCATTCAGCAACTGCAGAGCTCAGGACATGGCTGGGGAGCAATGGTTGCGTTATTTGGACGTCATAGCATGTCCTTTGCCTTAGGGGGGAGAGAGAGAGAGAGAGCTTAAAGACCAAAATCTTGCTGGCTGAGCCCTAACAAAAGCCTGACAAGGCTAAGTGGTCCTCTTCTGCTGTAATTTACTGCAGCCAACCCACCTGTCAGTTGCCAAAACTTGACCATTTTCCTCAAATAAGAATTTGGAAGTGGTGCTGCATTGAAGGGAAGCGTTATGAGCTTTTAAATTGTTGGAAGTTCCAACCTTTCTGTTGGAATCTCAAACAATATTCATGCAGTACCGTTGGAAGTTCCAACATAAATAAATTATTTTTCCAACACTCTCTTGAATATGACAATTTTGAAAATTGTCAATGGTTTTGAGCATGTATCTCTTCTGATTTCGAACAATACCTTCATTTGATACAGTTTTTTAAATTTTTGTTACTAGAAAATTATTTTAGAAACTGATAAAAAAGATGTCTCAAATATATAAAGTCTAAATCCATGGGAAGTCTTTATTTTCTATAAAAAATGGAGCTCTCACCAACCATTTTAGTTTGCTGGTGATCAGCCATGTTAGGTTTCATTTGGGTCCTTTAATTGGAACAGCTTTCTAGCTTAGTGTTTTTAAAAATAGCTTTCTATTAAAAAATTAAAATTTTTATACTTAAAAAATGTTTTAAGAAGCAGTAAGATTATCTCCAACCGTTCGGCAAACAACCAAATGGAGGCCCTCAAACGTCGCAACCGAACGTCTTTTCCTCCGCCATTTGATCGCGGATGAACAGTGCAACGCCAATATTAGAATCACACTATTTATCTGCGCCATTTTTTGGTCTCTCCTGAACTTGAAGAAGAAAGCCACGAAAGAAGAGAGCGACAGCTAGGGGGAAAAATGGCGTTCGATTGGAGATGAATCATGTCACTTTTTGGTTTCAATGCATTTTGAAGTGAAAAATGAGATTTTTGGTTGGAGATACCCTAAGAAAGCCGTCCCAAACGAAACCTTTGTTTGTTAGTGATACCCTAAATTTGGAAGAGAGAGAGAGAGAGAGAGAGAGAGAGAGAGAGAGAGAGAGAGAGAGAGTACAAATGAACATGTAGCATATTAGTGTTATTCCTATTGAAAAACTCCTTAGATTATAGCTTTATATTATTTGAGCAAGATTCATGTATATTTATTTATGTATCTACGACCGATTTTTATTGACAGAATCACTAATAATTTTCTATATGATATCTTCCAAAAGGAAAGAAAAGAACTTTTCTGTATGATTTGTTCATACAACGTGCCGTGCCTTGTTCACTCTGAGCTAGCATAAAAGGAAAGAATAAAACTTTTCAATTTCTGATCTTATTTTATATGTGTGTGAGAGAGAAAAATATATAAATTAGATAATTTTGAATGCTATCTATGTAAATTCCTCTACATGTGCTATGAATGAAAGACTGTTGAAACTAATGGAGGGGAAGACAGATTTATTTCTGCTGCAGTAAAATACAGATCTGGAGCCCCAAAGATTAAAAGACATGTTCAGCCAAATTTACAGCTGTGACATTCAGAATTCAAGATTTAGAACCTAAAATTCATATATTATAATCTTGGTGAATAAAAGCTCATACTGCTTGACGAATTGACAAAGCTATCTAGCTAGCTAGGTAGCTCTCTGATGAAAAGTATGATAGTTTGAGGCTCTTGAACAGAAATATTCTTCATTAGCAATTGATCAATTTGTTGAGAATGACTGAAACTAGAAGAAAGAATCTAAACCCATTAAAAAATTTAAGGATTCAAGCTGCTAGCTCTCTTATGCTGAAAACTTTTATATCTTTGAATCTTCTATCATTGTAGATGAACATTCATTGACCATGCAAGCCTCTAAGTTTATAAACGCAATCACAAACCAATCTAAAGTGTTTCTATATTGATTTTTGATAGAAAAGTCCGATTTCGGCCATGGTTTTCAGCCAATATTTGGTGCAGTCTTCTTTGTCGATCAGCAAGAGTTTATATGTATTAGAACAGCGAAATAAAGATACTCATTCTTGCAGTCCTATAGAATCAGGACACGTGTAAAGCTGGTTATATATACATTATATATATAGGTGTACAGATGTATTAGAAATGATTATAATAATAGAAAAGCTCTATTTCCTTTTCCTCTGTTTTCTCATCACTTGGTATGTGTTCTTCCATAAGCATGTAAAAACGCTCAGATCTGATTCTAAGAATTCTTCATGGTATCAGAGCAGTTCTTTTTCTAGAGATTCATAATTTCTTGTCTTCTATGGCAAGCTCGGCATCTACAGCCTCAAATACAGGCACGACTCAGGCAGGATCTCTGGCAAAGAAGTATATCGATCCTTCGCTCAAATTCGTGGTCACAAACCTTAAATCTATCATTCCTCATCCTCTCTCGGCCGACAACAATTCCAGTACCCAATTACACTTCTAATCCCACGACTACAACAGATCTACCTAAGCTAATAACAAATTCAAACAGAACTAGTTATCCTAACATTGTACAAGACACCACCAACTTGTTGTCCTCACATCACTCGGATCTGCCTATATCCAGGCATCCTATGACTACGCGTCTCCAATCTGGTTCACTAAAGCCCACCAGACGTCTCAACCTACTTCTCCAAGAATCGGAGCAAGTAACCCAATCTGATCCCACCAGTTTCAGCGAAGCAAACAAAAGCTCGGGCTGGAGGAAAGCAATGGCGTCCGAATTCTATGCATTGCAACAGCAAGGCATGTGGTGCCTAGTACCGTCTCCACCAAATGCATCAATTTTGGGATGCAAATGGACATATAGAACAAAGTACAATTCAGACGGGTCCATTGCTCGGCTCAAAGCTCGTCTAGTAGCTCAGGGGAATAGACAAGAATATGGTTTAGACTATATGGAAACATTCAGCCCGGTAGCAAAGCTTCCAACCATACGTATTCTGCTCACGGTTGCACTGTCCAAAGGCTGGAAAGTTCAGCAATTGGACGTTACCAATGCTTTCCTGCACGGAACACTCAATGAAACAGTATATATGCGACAACCTAAAGGATTTGAGGACGCAACCCATCCGGAGCATGTCTGTCTTCTACGCAAGGCCATATACGGGCTAAAAAACAGGCACCAAGACAATGGTACAATACCTTTACGACCTACCTGATCTCAATCAGCTTTCAACAAAGTAAGGCAGACCCGTCTCTCTTGACATTCCGTCACAATCATACACAAATGTATCTACTGGTATACGTCGACGACATCCTCCTAACTGGAAACAACAACACCCAACTAAACGAGCTTATACAAAAACTTCAGCAAAGATTCAACTTGAAGCAGCTCGGCGTCGCCCACCACTTCCTCGGCATTAAAATCCGATCACTCCCAGATAAACTCTTTCTATCTCAAGCTCACTATGCACAATCTATCATTAATCAAGCAAACTTAGGCAAATGCAATTCGGTGGCAAACCCATCTTGCACAAAACAGCTTATTGACTGTCTTGCACTTGATTTATTATCTGATCCAAAACTCTATCGCAGGATAACAGGAGCGCTTCCAAACCTTACCATAACACGTCCGGATATTGCATATGCAGTCAACATGCTATCCCAACATATGCATGATCCGACAAACACAAACGCGCATCAACTAAAACGATTACTGAGATACATTCAGGGTACACACAATTTTGATCTTCCAATAACTAATTCAAATCTTCAATTGCAGACGTTCTCGGACGCAGACTGGGCTGGAGATCCAATCACTCGCCGATCGACGTCGGGATATTGTACGTTCTTGGGAGATACATTGGTATCGTAGACGGTCAAGAAGCAAAGCACGGTGTCTCGCTCCACCACAGAATCAGAATACAGGGCACTTGCGGCAGCTACGACGGACTCCATATGGATCAAAAGGCTACTCGGGCACTACAGGAAAATCACTTATTACCGGCGGAATTTTCCGGCGGTCAAATTTCCGGCGGCTTTCCGGCGGCGTTCCGGCGGTTTTTGACGGCTTAAAATTTCCGGCGGCGTTCCGGCGGCTTTCCGGCGGTTTTCCGGCGGCTAATTTCCCCGCGAAATTTTGCGACGGCTAATTTCCCGCAAAATTATCCCGCGGAAT